AATTTTTCTGCACATGCATTTGAATATAAATTTCTGAGATTTTAAATCTGTTATTTTACCTTAATTTTAATTAAAAAATATTTTAAAACCTGCTGATTACCTATAGTATAATTAAATTTCAATATAATGCATGGCAACTGTTGGTAGTTTTGAAGTTTATATATTTTCTTGGCAAACTTCAGTTTTTGACATTTTTGACGGTTTAAACCAGTATTATACCCTTGTCATGTCAAAAACCACTTTTTGACGTCAAAAACCCAACCCTGGTTAGCTAACATATTGTGTGGTCCTCTCAAAACATAAAAATATCTTGTTAATATGTAAAAATCTGCAAAGTAGGTCAAAAGTTTTTTTAGATATAAATTTTTTAAAAATTTATAATTTTAGTTATATTGAAAATTATTTGTAAACACTTTGTGTATTCATTATGCTTAATTGAGTGATATTTTTTAGGAGAGCTTGCAAAAAAGTGTTCTGTCATCTTCTAAAATTTCTCCAAAAAAGGAATATCCATTGCAAGAAATAACAGAGAATTCCATAGACAAATCAAAAAAAGTGAAATTAAGCATGGGAAATAGAAATACACCGAAAAAAATAATAAAAGAAGAAGCAGATTCAAATAAGGTAATTTCTGCAGTTACTTTACCAAATATTACTACTATTGAAGAAAAACTGGAGGCAAGCTCGCACGAAGAATCAGTTGAACCTTATTCTAATAAAAACCAAAGCAGTACAGATAGGCAGGCAGCAAAAAGAAAAGAAAGAGAGCATGATGACGGTGATTCTAACAATATTGCAAACAAAAAGCGGTACCAAGGTGGTAATGAAGAATTTATGCCCCATGAAAATGTTGATCAGGCCAATTCTCCACAAATGTCATCAGATGCCATCATATCTCAAGATATGGAGGATGATGTAAGTAAGTCTCCACCTGAAGAGTTAATTGATATAGAAAGTTGCTCAACTGACAATGATGATGTTATGCTAAAGCTTTCATCTCACCAAAAGCCTGAAAATTCTGAGAAAATTTTTACGTCTGAGTCTTCAGATAAGAGCAATGAACATCAGGAGCAATCTTCTCTTCTTAGTAGTCCACAGATACTGGAAGAATCTATAGCTAATGAAAATGCTGAAGATAGAAATAGGGAGGAAGATTCTGTTATAAACATAAATTTACAAATTCACTCAACAGATGATGACCATTTCATATCTTCTAGTAATAATCCAGAGTTACGTTTGAATGACTCTGTAATGAATGACCTTTCATCATCTTCGATGAAACAGCTTGAGAATGTTGAAGACCCTCAATCATCTGATGTTATTGAAATTCAGATTGTTGTTGAGGATTGTCCACTTTCAGATGAGCAAAATGTTTCAGTATCTGAAGAAAATAAAACAAATAATACTTTGCTAATTTCAGATGAACAAGAAGGACAAGCCATCATAACTCTGTCCTTTGGTGGCAATGAAGCTGAAATGACTGCTGAATTGCATGAAGCTTCTAATCAGGAGAATAAGTCCGTTTCAAGCTCTGTCATAAATGACACGTTGAATGAAGTGTTGGATGTTGTCTCTGATCCATCTGTTGATGCTGATGATTTTGATAGTCAGCATCAGCCAGCTGATCATGCTGCCAATGTTACAGAACCTGATCTTAAATTGCCTAATGAAATGAATCTTGAAGGTCAATTTTTAAAAGATTCTTCCTCTTTTTCTAATCGGTCAACCATCAGCATGCATCTTTCATTTGATTCTGATAATGATTCTACTTCAATGACTAAAATGAGTGAGTTACCAGAAAATATCTGTGAGTCACCAGATTGTAGTAGTACATCAGCCTCTGATGCACTTAAAGTTGATGGAGAAAATAATCTGAATGTCCAGTCAAGTGACAAAAATTTGGAAAACAATCAGAGGTATATAAGCTCTGAATCATATGAGGACAGCTCGCTAAGTGAGCAAATGCCAACTCTGACTGCTGGAGACAGTGAAAAAGAGTCTCCTTCTTTTCAAAGAATTGAAAATTTACAAAATGAATTAATGCCCACAATATCTCTTGAAGCAACAACTGCTGAAACTGTAGTAGTTGAATCTTGCAATGAAGAGTCTCAAAATGCTCAAATGTCATCTAGCTCTCTGGAAACTTTGGATGAGAAAAAAAATATCACTCAGTCTCATTTTAGAAGATTTCCGAATCGTACGCCACTTGAAGAGCTGAAGGAGAAAATTAGTACTACTAAGTCTCCAAAAAGTTTGCCATCTGATGTATCATCATCTGACGATGATTCTAAAGATGCATCTTGTGAAGTGAGTCAGTCATCTAGAAATAATAGAGGCACATTATTAGCTGTCATAAGCGAGTCGAATGAGTGTGATGAACAGGTATTAAATCTTGTTTCCAAATCAAAAAATGAGCTCCACTCAGATACATCTGAAAATGTAGGTCGGGGAGAAATATATGCTGATAATTCTGAAGTTACATCTGAAAATGTAGTTCGGGGAGAAATATATGCTGATAATTCTGAAGTTGAACACTTGAATAAGTCCCACTCAAGAAAACTCTCATCATGTGAGGTATCTCAGTCTTGTAATTCCAAGGTAGAATCACCTAATGAAGAAAATGTTAATGAATGTGATGTATTTTTACAGAATAGTCCAAAAGATATTGAAAATTTTGCTGATGCTTCGAGCAGCAGACGAGATGCTCTTGTTTCTGCTGATGAAGGCCTGAAAGAAGATGACATAGTTAGACACTCGATAACTTCTGAAGGATCTACTTCAGAAATCAGCCAATCTCATAAAGTTGAAAGCTATTCAAATGATGAAGCTTCTGAACAAGCAGAGGAATTTTATAATATTGAACTCTGTAGTCAATCAACTTCAAGCATGCCATCACATCCAACTGAATCCAAAGATTTTTGTGTGTCATCTTGCGATGCTGGTAAAAATACTGGACCAGAATTTCCAGATTCTGAAATTAAAAACACATCTTGTGAAGTCAGTCAGTCAGACAGATTGGAAAGTCATAGCAATTTAAACATGCCAGATGATCCTTCTGATTTTAATGATAATTCTGTGTCTGGAGGACATGAAAGATCATCGAATCAAGAAAACTACTGTGAAGTGACTGAATCGTATGAAGCTGAGGAATGCATACATTCTGAAAATACAGCTGTACTAGCAGAAAATAGTTCCAGTGAATGTGAACCTTTAATGGTTTCCCATGACAGACCTGAATCTATGAATACATTGTCTGATAGCAGAGAACCATGTGCCTCTTCAGACCATAGTAATCCAATATCTGTTTGCAATATTACTGCAGAAAATTCTACTTCTTGTGAAGTAACACAGTCTTCAGTAACAGAAAATATTTCCATTGAAAATGTAGACCCAGCAATAAACAACAAGTTGCATTCCAATGAATGTGAAGTGTTTGAAGAGAGTGATTATAATTCCGAAGACTCTACCCTTGCTTCTGACAGCCAAAGTTTAGTATCATCTGTTATATTATTAAATCAAGAGGAGGAGGAGGAATCTATAAACCCATCTTGTGAAGTAAGTCAGTCATTTAAGTCTATTGAAGATAATAATCTTCCATTTGAGGAATGTTGTGTGTCTTCTGATGAAGGTAATGAATTTTCAACTCACTATGCTAATATTGAAGAAAATAAAATTACTGACGAAGTTAGTCAGTCTGTTACTTTATCCATTCCATTAACGTCAGATGCACCAGATTATGAATTGAGTGAATGTGATCAGCCTGGCTTAGTTTCTCACTCTGTTGAACTATTTTCTAATGATCAGAATGAATCAGCAGAATCATCTAAGGAAGTTTGCTCTTCTGATGAAATTAACGCGGCTTCTGGAAATCTTGATGAAAACATGAACAATTCTGCGTGCGAAGTAACCCAATCAAACAGAACTGAAGAAGGTATTTTGATGCCCCAATCCCAAGATTTGTTTGAAAATGAGTCTTCAAATGAGTGTGAAGCTTATGGAAGAACCTCTAGTTCATTAGAGGATCAGAATGTGGACCCTTCAGATCGCGATTGTGAAGCAAAAAATATTTGTGAGTCGTCGGATGACATTGAGTTAGCTTCAAGTGAAAATCTTATTTCTACACAAAAGCAGTTTGAAGATAATAGCGCTTTAAGTTGCATTTGTCAGTCTTCAAGGTATGGTTCTAAGTCATCTGATTTACCTGATATGGATGATAATAATGAATATGACAATAGAATTCAGATAGAAGCTGAAAATAATGATACTCAACAAAGTAATATTTGCGAGTCATCAGAAAGCAGGCAAACAAATCGCAGTACCGATCCTTGCACTTCGTCAGATAAAATAGATAATGAAGACACTTATGATTTAGCATCAAATGACAAATTATGTGATTCAATATCAAATGCAGATGCCTCTATTTGTATTGGAGATGCAACAGGTTCCATTTCTCAGTCTGAAAGAGATTTAAACAATACTCTAATCACTAGTTCCGTGGCATCTTCAGTGCCACCATATAACACTGTAACTGTCTCTTCATCTGTCGACATTTCTTCAAATCCTGTTGGCATAGTTTATTCATCTCAGATAACTCATTTTAATCCAGGACAAGAAATTATTTATATTTCCAATTCTGAAGTATCTCAATCTTCAACTCAATTGAATCAGAAGTCTACTGGTAACAATGAAGATTCAAATGAAGTGGAAAATAGTTCGTGTACTGACAGCTCATTGGCTTACCCATCTGTGATTGTTAGTAGCGATACAAAAATTACTTCTAATACATTAGAAAATACTGAATCTAACAATGAATTAGTGTCTGATTCCAATGTCATTGAAACTTCTGAATTAGACAGAAGCACATGTGAATTTATTGGAAGTAGTTGTACCAGAGTAGAATCGTCAAGTCCAGATATAATACCAGAAACAGAGCAGAAAGCGAAAAATTCGAGTTCTTCAGATAAAGATGGAAAAGGAGCTATTGTAGTTAAAAAATTTGGAAGAAGAATGAAATTCATTCCTAAAGTAGCTTGTAAAGCCAAAGAAGAAAAGGTAGAACAATCAACTAGTGGAGCAAGAGATACTGGCTTTAGAGACACTAACTTGGACCAGCAACCAACAGCAGGCTATACTTCTGAATCATCAGTAAATGCATCTGGAAATACCATTGGAGGTAATACAGATTCACGACCTTCATTATTAGAAGTAATTGTTTCTTCTGCTAGTGATTTTAGAAATTCATTAATTCATGACAATAATAATTTTGATAGAGTAACATCACCTTCTGAAATTGCTGAATCATCCTCAAACTTAAATAATGATCCTCATGATGAATCTGCAAACCTGCTTGTTGCTGAAATGGGATCTATTCGAGAAGGCCCTAGTTACTCTCAGCTTTACGCATCTGGTGATAGCCCATACCTAAATAAGCCAGACACTGATTCATTAGTAACAGAATCTGTGACTTATGATGAGGAAAAAGATAATAATTCACAACATCGAGTAAGTCAGTCATCTGAAATAACAAATGTTTATTCATCTGTAATTGTTTCCGGAACGCCGGAAAACGAAAGTGTGTCAGAATCATCGCAACATCAACTTGTTCAATCAACAAGTGGGGTTATTAAAAGATCAACTCAGTCAAACGAGGATGCAAATACGAATGAATTGGTTGCTTCAACACCAAGTACTTGCGAAGTTTCTGAAGTTTCCGATTCCTCTCATGCAAAGTTCGCTTCCCCCTCTGTCAGTGATGACAATGTTGTTAACTTAGATAATTCTAGAACTCATATAGAATCATCTGATGATGTTGATGTATGCACTGAGAATTTATCTGTAGACGAGACAGAGAATGCTGATGCCAATGTTACGTCAACTCCCTTTGAAACAAAGGGGCAAAAACTGCAGAGTTATTCTGCTGATGGCAGTGATCAATGTTCCATGATTGAAGGCACAGATGATGTATCATTTTCTAGTGAATTAGTACAATCTCGTTTAAACATTTATGCTGCTGATGGAAGTGGTCAGTGTGCTCTGATTGAATGCACAGATGGAGCACAAGCTCTTTATGATAGTGATTCTAACATTCCATCTTATTCAGCTGACAGAAGTGACCAATGCACTTTAATAGAATGTACAGACGGAAGTCTGCGTAACATTGATGGCAATTCTGAGTTGCCAGAGAATGTTGAAGATCTATCAAATCCAAATTTAAACATCACATCTGATAGTAAAGTTTCTGGTTCACATGATCATCAGCGTTCCAAAGTTTGGCGTTCTCGTTTCCAGGAGGAAAATTGTGCATCCTCCTCTATGGATGAAAATAGCACCACTGATGATGCTTCGAGGACTCAAATTTTAATTATTGAATCTGAAGCATCAAATGAAGCTGAAGTTTTAAAATCACGATTTGTAGACAATAATGATTCTGAAAACTTTTTCTTGGTTAGTGAAAGCGGGCAAATAGTTATAAATCCACCTGAAAGTGTTGATTCCCCTTCAGATTACAATGTTGATAGAAACTATAAACAAGATGTATCCCAATCATCCAGTGCTGATCAAACTCTTCAGCCTGAATTATATTCTGAAAACAATGAAGCTACCCTCTTCCCTTTGCAAAGTGAGTCCTACAGAGAGGTGACCCTGGCAAATGAAACTTACTCATCTCGAATTACTGAAGAAATAGAATCTTCTGGAAACAGTGTAGTGCCCAGTGAACTGTCCCAAAATATACTTTTAGCAAGCAATGATTCCAGTATTTATTCGCAGTCTGTTGATTTTAATGATGGTTCCATACATTCGTCTTCGTTTGAAGTTTTACAGTACCCAACTGACGAACAAATTGTTGCTTCATCTTTATCAAGTACAATGTGCGACAGAATTGAGACATTAACAGATTCAGTTCCTTTGCAATCGTTAGACGTGGTTGATGAGAGAAGCAATGTGTCTCAATCCTACATTGATGAAAATGAACCTCAACAAATTTCAGAGGTATTAGAAAGCAATGAAGAGAGTGATAATGATAGACATGCTACTCATAGTCCTGATTCACATAGTTCTGAATATATATTGCAGGAAGAAGACGACTGTGATAATAGTTGTTAAAGTATTATCGTAATTAAACTTATATATTTGCAATAGCAAGTGTAAAAGTTTAATTTTAAAAACTATTGGCTGCATTTATGTTGGAATATTTTTAAAATTTTTGTTAGAAAATTTCTATTGTCTCATAAAAATTAGCATTTCCCTCCTCGTTAAAATATATTTCTATGAATGTTAAAAAAAAAAATTAAAGTTTATTTTTTAATGGGGTAAAATTTTCTGTATTTTTGATAGTTTATCTTATTATCAGAGATACAAATCTGGAAAGTTATACTATCCCTATAAGTTAAAAATTAATGTCAAGTATAAGGAGCTTCATATTAACCAAAAAATTGGAAAAATATTCCTTAAATTAGGTGAAATGTTTAATGCTGAAAAAAAGTTTCATTGGTGAAGAATTTCATTGATTGCTGTAATCAAACAGCTGTAAATTTAAAATTAATTCATGTTTTATTTAAGTCTGTTAGGATTGTCTAATTTCAGCAAAATAATTATTTTTACAAACTTTTTATTTCAGACAGACAATAATTAAATTATCAAAAAGTGAGTGCCAAACACTGGGTTTCTAATATCTAGCAATGAAAAAATTATTTCACTCATCTCATGTATAACCTGCTACAAGATTGTATAATTTTATATTGAACAGTGTAAACATGATACATTTTCTCTGTTATATATATTATATAATACATTAGGGTTGGCTGAAAAAATAGAGTTTTTATTTTCAAAACACTATACTGCGGAAAAGATGCCTTATATGAAAATAATTTTGATATAAGAAATTTTAAAATTGATTAATATCTTCCCAATGCACGTCTCACTTTCTTAAAATTGTACAACCGTAACGCTAGTTTCTGATGCCTAATTTATGGTTTTTAAAAAAAGTAAATATGTTAAAATATTATTGTTTATTCAGTGCATATCAATTGCTGTGTGCTTAAAAAGCGGAAATTATATATGTTTTTCAAATTTCTCGCCATTTACTGAAGAAAATTTTCTTTGGACATAACATTCAAAACCCTGTCCGATAATTATATTCTTTTATTTATTATGTGGTATGTGATAAGCGATGAGGGTATAAAGCAAAAGGCATGAATAAATGGAGTTATTTTGTATATTTCAAACACATCATATGGTTGTTATGCTTTGAAATAATAATGATATTTAACCTTTTTTAATTTTTTTAAACCATAAATTAGGCATTAGAAACTACAGTATGTGGATTGAAAAATTTTTAGTGGTATTAATAAGTTTAAATTTTTTTTTTCAATTTAATCAGTTTTTCTAAATTTAAGTGCAATGCTTGACTGGAAAATATTAACCGATTTTAAAATTTTTTATGTAAAATTTCTGTTTTACACATGACATCTTTTCCGTACTATAGCATTTTGAAAATAAAAACGGCCCACCTTAATAATACATTTTTTTACAATTTATAAGTTAATTTTTATGAGAAAAATTAATGATTTTGTGTTTTCTATATTGCATTTCTGTTATCTAACATTTTTGTTTTACTTTTAAAATGGTTTTATATGTAATATTATTTCAAAATAAAAATATGTATATGCATTAAAATTGTGGCTAATCAATTGAATTTTCCATATATCCATTACTAACAAAGGAAAAGGAACATTTAAGCTCTTAAATTTTGCTAGTTTTTTTTTCTAGATATAAGTGCAAGGAATGCTATCTTATATAATTTAATTGTTGAATACTTCAAACTCTCGATTAACTCAGATAGGGTAATCCGGGATGCCTCCTGAAAATAAAGGAAGTTAGAGAATGCTGGATAAAATAATTTTCTCAACCCTTCCTATATAGTATTATTCTTCACAAAGCAATGAGGTAAATTACTTTTCTATTTTATTTGTAATGTTTGACAAGTAAATCCATAAATCTAATTCAACATTAAATTTGTTATTTCTATCTTTTCATTCTAATTTTACTAAGAAGTATAATTTTAAATTTTCAATAATTGTTTTGTGGGGGATAGTAGTTATCGACAATGTCAACTTACATCTACGAAAAGGTACCCCATCATCGAATCGAGTTAACATGTCTTATATACTAGTTAATTGGAATTATATTTTAGTAGTGGTAGACACACTACAGTTCTCCTCCACCAGTTTTATCTGTGATTGAATTTGATGAACGAATAGCACTAGTTGATTCATTGCTGTTCTGTGAGAAGCCGGGAGAGCCGTATTAAGATCACCATACTTTTTGAGTGCTGATCTGAGAGTTGTATTAAGTTCACGCTCGCTCTTCTGTTGCCTTTAGCAGTCAAGTGTATACATTGTGTATTGATGGAGACTGAGAAGCAACAGCGTGAGGACAATGTCGCAGTCACAAGTCAACTGCACAATGTGGACCATCCATCGAAGTGGGCGTTACAGTTTAGATAGGCGTGTTCACATGATGTCCGAAAGTCACCAATGTGGGGGATAATAGTTATCGACAAAGTCAACCTTCATCCATGAAAAGGTTGGATCATAGGATTGAGTTAACATATCTTATATACAGGGTATCCGCACACCTGGAAAGTTATGAAAAATCATGTATTTAGGTCTCCGAAAAATCTAATTTTTTAAATGGAATCCCCTCTCCTAATCTCATCTTGTTCCAAATATTTGAATTCCTAACAAAATCTCCACTAAGTCATATTTTATTAGAATATAAAATGATTTTATCATGTTCTTTAAAAATTATGGTGTTCTTTCAAAAAATGAAAGAAAAAACATTTCTAGAGTCAATTATCTTTTAAACTTCGGTGAATTAAGAATTTTTATTATTATAATTTTTTTTAAATTTTATCAATTTAAAATTCTAGTTGAAGCGAACCAGTCATTGGCAAATTTTTTTTAAATTGCGAAATGAGAACAGAAAAATCAGTTGTATTTCTTTACTTTCTGATGAACAAGAAAAGCATCTTTAGAATATAATTCTGCAGAAAAAAAATTATTTACTTTTGTATTTTTTTCAGCTATATTATTGTTTCAACTCTTTCTTTACTCTGTTTTTAAATTTAAAATCAATAAATATGAAGATGCAGAGTATAACAGTTTTGGTTATACCTATCATTTCAATTAATGTTATTATAATGCTTTTTTAAATGTATTGTTGTGTTTTTGTCGTAGAAAATAGTAACTTCGTTAAGTCATGGAATTCTTGGAATTAGTCGTGGAAAATCATGAATTTGAAGATCTAAAATGTAACAGATACCCTGCATATACTAGTGAATTGGAATTATATTTTGTAGTGGTAGACACACTACAGTTTCATTGAAATCATTAATTCGATTATCTGTGATATTTTTTTATTTGTTGCAAAACATTTATTTTCCAGTTGAGAGACAACATTCTTCACAAAGCAATGAGGTAAACTACTATTCTGTTTTATTTATAAAGTTTGACAAGTAATTATTTAAATCTAATTCAACATTAAGTATGTTATTTCCTTCTCTTCATTTTAATTCTACTGATAATGTCATGTAATTTGAGATTTTCAATAATTTTTGTTACAATTGTTTACAATTAATATATAACTTTTATAAATATTTATTCTATAAAGAGGGAATCATATCAGTATCTTAGAATTTAAAAAGTATTTATTTACCCTAGATCAGTGGTCGGCAAAGTGCGGCTCCAGAGCCGCATGTGGCTCTTTAGCTCCTTAAGTGCGGCTCTATCACAAATATCCACAGAAGACGCAATAATATTTTCATTTAAAAAAAAACTTGGTAAGAAAAAAATTATATCTTATTTTGATAAATTAAAATTCTTCTATAAATCGAGAACATGTATAATTTTTTGTTTAAGTTAAAAGATGGATAGGTATTTAAAATTTTATATTGTTGTAAAAATACGTAACAAACATAGAGTTTAATTTTATTAGTTTTCGTAAACGTTAACACAAACCATCATGTACAAGCTACCGGCTGAAATTATTTGTATGTTTACGGCGTACTTCGGTGTGATACAAAAGTACCACAAGCATGAGCGCGCATACTTTTTCTGAAGTAGTGGGCATTGTTCGCATTAATAAATATTTATTAAGTATGAAATTTTGTTTTATTTAGTGTAATAAAAGTTTACTAAAGAAGCAGATTTGGCTCCCAATTTTTTTAAAAATTGTTGTAATGTTCATATTTGGTTCTTTGGCTAAGAAGTTTGCCGACCACTGCCCTAGATTAAAGAAACTTTTTTTTGAATTAAGGATTGTTCAATTGTGGAGAAAATTTTTGTAATAAAGCACCCACATCCATTGAAATGAATCAAAAGATTTTCTCCTAGGTGTAAGAAAGTAAGTCCAAAAATTATCAAATAAATAAAAAAAACTTGTCTAACTTATAAAATATTTTATTACATATATATTTATATAGGAACATATCAGCATTAATAAACAAATTGTAAGTTAACTTAGGATTCATATAAGGCGGTTGAAAAGTGACATCTCATGAGTGAGAGTCAAGAAAAATTGCATAATCAGTAAGTAATAAAATATGTTAATAATAATTAAACACTGATAAATTTTCAACATTTTAGAGGCTAACAATTCCACTAAAGTGCAAGTTTTATGCATGCATCAGAAATATTACCAAGTTACAAATTTTGGGATTTAAGTTAAATATTTATTTAGTTAAGATAAAATTTACAAAAATGTAATATTTTATTTTTGCACTGCAAGGGGTTATAAATTCTTCCTACTCAAGAGTGCTAGAAATATGTAAGATAGCTGTAATATTTTATTCTAGTGTCAAAATCAGTAATAAGAGAGTTGTCAAAATTATGAAAATGCAAATTATGTATAGATATTTTTTGTTTAATATGCATGTGAAAAATTTCTTCACAGTAAGTGCTAAAAGGAAGTTAAATAAAAATTATTGATTTCACATAAATTATTTAGTGCTAAAGGGAGCAATTTGATTTTTCTGTTCTGATACGTTAATTTGCATTAAAAGTAATTAAAGATTAATTTATCTTTTTTAAAAAAAAACTGAAGTGAGCTAGTAAATTGGTAAAGTTGTAGAGATTTGACCATTTCGTACGTTATCCCGCTTCCTATACTGTTAAATTATCCTGGACTTTACGCTACCCTTTTAAAGAAAATCTCGCTCTATATATTTTTCTTACAAATCAAAATCATTTTTTCCCTACAAAGCTTGCTTAAACTTTTTCTGAATTTTCTTTTCTTCTTTAAGAGGCTTGTTTATTAACTGTCATTAAACAGCCGACCCAATCCTGGGTTTACGACTACCAACGTGCAACTCCGTATCTTTGTGATTTTGATCCTAGTCCTGAAGACAAGGGAGTTCCTGGATCAGTACTCCCAGAGGGAACATGGAGGACTTTGTAACCTGAGAGATTTAACATGCATCAGTCTCCATTAACTACACAGAGAGCCTTCGGCCGATGGGGAACGGACTCACGATCTCTTCGACATGGCCCCAGTGCCCTACCAACCAGGCTATCCCAGCCCCATATTAACTGTTTGTTGATTTTTTAACGTTCTTGTTATTTATTGCCCTTTTGTCAGTGAGAGGGGATTTCTTCCTAGAGTCAAAATTAGAAGGGCAATGCACAGGAAGGGTGGTCAAAGGAAGAATGGGAGATTAAATTTGCGAGTGGAATTTTTTCCAACAAACATAAATTTTTGAAAAATATATTTATAATTCTTTTAGCCCGATTTTAGGTTATCCTGTTTCGTACGTTTTTTAACGCTAGTCAGACAGAAAACGTAGAATCGGGGTTCCACTAAACATAGGCTATGAAAAATATGCATAGTCAAGTTAAGAATAATAGGCATCATTTAGTCCCTTCTTATTAACTTCAGCTTTCAATTTCTCAACCTGATTATTAATTGTTATAAATTACTTTTTATGGGTCTAGATACCTGTGTATTCACTCTTTTCTGAAGTGGAAATAATTAGATGGAATACATTAATTATGTCTATTAACCTAGCATGACCTCTCAGAATAAATATACCACATAAAATGAAGTATTCAAATATACTTTATGTGTAAAATTAAATAATTTAAAAACATATAATATCAATAGGACAAACACTTTTATTAGATGTCCCGACCTATCAAATAAAATCTGCTGAGTACAGTTGTAAGATATTTTTATATGGAAGACACAAATTATGATAAGGAAAAGTTTCAATGTAATTCGATTGACTTTGGATTCAGAATTTTTGTAGATATTTTACGCAAATGTTGTTCTACTGAGAAATAGTTTAAACTAATTGCTATTTAAACTAAATAAGTTAATAAATTTTTTTTAACCATCATAACTCCAAAAAGTTTAGAATTTGTATAATCTGTAATGTTCCATTGCTTGAGGATGTTACTTACCAAACTTAGATTTTTGTTGATACTTTGTCTGGTTGTTGTGCTGTTGTTTGCCAGGGAGCAGAACTGTTACCTTAGACTTATACATTTGTTGTTAGCATCAAATTCTGTAATATAAATTGCTCTTTCTCTATTCTATTTGTTTTTTTAGTAAGCAGACTTGCTGCTGGCAGGTATCTGATTAAGTTTGGATCGATGAACAACATTTTCGCTGAGGTCTACTCCTACATATTTGAACTGGAAATATCTGTTTGAGACGCATTGTGACCACTTTTAGTAATTATCATCGAAGTTCATTTTGACTGTCTGAAGGAAAAGATGGAGAATCCGTTGCAGCTATTGTGAGGCTTTGCCAAACTTCTATGCTACAACATAAAGTAAGGATTAGTGTCCCTGATGTGCTTAATTGATAATTCTGGTGAATTTTATTTCAACTGAAATTCTCTACAGTTATATGAACTTGTGTTCTAAAAACTTTTTGGAAGTCTGTTGAATTCTTCCACTTAAGCATATTTATTGTTCTATGAGTTTGTGACATTTTGCCAGTTCTGCTAACTGTAGAGGGATCTTTATATATTACTAATACATCATGTTTTGTAGTTTGTTAAAAATAATTAAGCACTCCAGAGACAATAATCTTTACTTTGTTGTGTTGTAGCGTAGACTTTCTGAGAATTCCTCTCAACAGTTGCAGGAATGAGATTTCAAGTCTTTTCTTTTAGAATGCTATCAGATATTGAAGATGAGTGTGTCATTCTTAGTGGTCACGCTACTCTCAATCTGGGTATTTTCAATTCAAATCTATAGGAGCAGGCTTCTGTTAGAATGTTGTTTGTTCATCCAAACCCCCAGGTGACAAAATCTTAATTACTTACTAAAAGAATGAATGGATGAGAGAAAGATTCCAACACCAAATAGTATTTTAACCTAGTGTGAAATTGATGTCAACAACAAACATATATAAGCAGGAATCTTATATTTTTGATTGAAAAAAACTTCAGAATCATTACATAACACTTTTATTTAATTTGTCCATGTACAAGAAGTTCTCTTTTCTCTTGCAGGTGGAAATCTTGAATCCTAGAAATAGTACACAAGTCAGATGTACTCAGTGATATCCCTAGGTTTCTGAAGGAGGGCAACTTAAAATGAATGGAGGTTGTTGCAGATAATGGGGTTCTAAAGGCTTGAAAAAATATCAAGCATGTCTGTTTTTATTTGTATTTCTTGAGATATCTCCTTTTTAAATCTTATATTATACTTTTTGAACATCTTGTTTTTTAAAAAAAGAATGGTGAATTCATGTGTTTTTCGGAAGAATCGCATAACCTAATACAAAGTTGTGAAAAATATGTATGTTATTAAGGTCATAACACTAGTCATCCTGTTGTTTGGTTTTGAAGGCCGATATAGTACGGTACATAACCTAGATGCGTCAGACTCTATTAAGCATTTTTTTGTTGTTGCTAAGGCCGTCATTATGTAAACCACCTGTAGGCACATCAAAGCTTTTAAGGATACTAATACAGCCGACATTTGAAAAGATAGTAAAAATATTAGCATTTAAGCGTGATAAAAGATAACACTTACTACTGTAGACAACAGGATAGCAATTGCCACAGAAAGGCTCTTTGTCAGAAAATCTAGAATGAAAAATCCAAAATAAATCTGTTTCAGTATTGCCAAAAATGCAATCTTAAAATATTGCACTATTCTAAATACATACTGTGGAAAATGTGTTAAAAGTCCGCACATGATGTTTCAATAGTATGATAACATAATTGACAATAAACGAGGCATAAAAATGCTAAAATTAAAGAATAGAGAGCAGCTGTTTAACATTAAATTATTAGGTGCTTTAATGTTGGAAAGCTTTCTTATAAACAATTGGGCAAATTCAAAACCAACTATTTTTTTTTATCTAATTGGTTAATGATTGTTAAACAGTAATTAAAAAAAGGTTTAAAAATTTCACTCCAGCCGAGGGTCTATTTAAAGCTTCCACACCATATCATTATGTGATGATTCGTATTTCATAATCTCAGATTATTTTTTTTCTCTTTCTTGTGTCAGCTATGGTTATATCAAAACTAGTTTTTGTATATATATATGTATATAATTATTTACATGAGAATAAAGATTTATTTAAATTTTTTGTCATCTTTGTTGATCACATAATAGAATTGTGTTGTCTAGGAAAATAATTGTTTTCACAGGCTGAATAAATATTTCTAAGATTTGTAGATATACTTTTCAACTTTATAAATGATGTAATTTGGAAACAAAACAGGATTCTTTAAGCTAATATACTTTTGTTGGTGTAAATTTGAAAGTAGCTTAAAGACCCAATATTAAAATTACCTAATCCACAATTATCATTAGCAGTAATTATTAAGCCCCAATGAGCTATTACGCTGAATAAATAGCACAATTAGTATAACCATCCATTATTAAAAGAATAAAGCAATATCATTCAGTAATTCTCAGTACTGAAATAACTTGCGCTTAAATGGCAAAAAATTTCAACTCAAACACAATACAAATATATAACTATGCAAAAAATAAAAGTAATTTTTATTTTATTTTATTAAACTATTTATTATTGTTAAAACTAATTTATAGTAGTGGGACAAAACAAATCCTACAATAAATAGTGCTTAGAGTTTAGGTTTGTGCTCATTAAGCATAATTATGACTGAAATGATGTATTAAAAATATCTGAATTATTAAAAACAAGTGATACTTTTTCATTTTTACACTGTAGATTCATTACAATAATGTGACCCTTTTTTTACCTTATAAACTAAATTTTTTTTTTTTTGGCCTCTATAAATTAGATGAAATAATAAAATAATGTTTTTTTTTCATATATAAAGCTATATTTAAGACAAAGTAGTTGATAAAGTACATGTTGATGTTTTTTTTTCTTCTTCCCTCTCAAACATTTGTTGTTGTTACACATCGCCCTAGAGAAGGAAAGCCTAGACCCGGTCCAGTAGGCCCCGTCGCGTCAGTTCCCCAGATATCTGCAGAAAGTCCCGATCAACCAGCAACTGCTTATAAGAAGCGCCAAGGCAAAAAAGGTGATCAGGACTAGCAGATTGTGAGCAGGAACAAGGTTGGAAAGTCTTCTCCCCATTTTGAAACCTTAAACATTTAAGATGGTGACTACGAAATCTGGCCATGGCCGAGGGCCGCATTCAATACACTAAATTATACTGAAAGCGCAATAAAAAAATTAATTAGTAACTTTTTTACGGATATAACATTTACCAAATTAAATTTATATTCTTAAATGCATATTTATTTAAAGTTATACTTTTGAAAATTACATTTTGGTGTGTATTTAATTAATGTCTAATTAATATATTAATTGACTAATGTAAATTTAATAAGTCTATTTACTTACAGCAATTTTTTTTTTTTTTTGCCTATTGCACACAATAAATGTCTATTAACATTTAGAAAAAAGCATTTAATAGTTACCTGGTTTTATTGGAATAAAAGTTTGCTACTTGAAGGCTCCATTGAAACCAAAATCACGGAAGATCTCTATAGTAATAGTTGTCTAAATGGTGGTGAGAGTCTAGCCGTCATTGCTGTTGTCTACATAGCCTGTATACCATGCCAAGAAAATAGTATTTAACAGCTTATCTGCAATTATTTAAAAGTTTAAACAAAGCTGTAAGCCATAACTATAATATTTTAAGTTCATTAAAAAAAAAAAAAAAAAAAGATCAACTAAGATTTTATTTTAACTTGAAATATATACATACCTTATAATGCAACAGTAAATAAAAATCTAACACTAGAAAAGACTGAACATTGTTGTATACCTAGAAAGACTGAAGGGAAACACTAACAGGAAAAAGGTTAGCCTGGAAAAACTTCCTGAGAAAGCCAAGGCCCTCCTTAGGTTGTTTATATTCAGATCCACATTCAAAATCTTTAAATATGATCATAATTAATTGATAAAAAAAAAGAATTGATTAACGAAATCCTATGGTATTTTATTCGCTTCGGTAAGTAGAAATATTTGATTGAAAGGAACATAGGTTTCTTTGATACTTGAGTTTTCTTTTATTTATATATATGTTGAAGTACTCGTTTTTAAAAAATGAATACTGGGGTTATGGGATACTTAACATACATAACGGGCCACTTTAGCCCCTCCTAACACACCAGATATAAGGTTCTATATATATGTTTCCATCAGGCTCGCACAATGAACGATTAAAAATAGTTTTAATGTATAGAGTGTTTATTACCAAAAATAAAGTTTGGGAAGATTAGCCTCAGACCACCTACCTGATATGGATATTTAAGTAGATGGAAATCATGAGCACCATCTAATGAGACAATTGGCTTTTATCCCAATGACACAAGGAAACATGGGTTAATGGTGGGTTAACAGTAAGAAATATTTTGTTCATGTTATAAAATGTAGATCTTTCTCATCAAGATGTTCTCCACAAAAGGGAATTTGTTTTGAGGTTTGGCAAAGGGGTTCCATTTTCTTTTGCAGGACATTTAAATGTACAGAGTTTAACTATTTGGAGCTGAATGTAGTTTGCATGAATTGATTGTTTTTTGATAAAATTTGCATATGGGCATTTTTTAATAGGATTAATATGGCAAGTGAATTTAGAATGTGAATAATAATGTTTTGACTCACCCTTTCGATTTGTGCTGACTTCATCATGCATTTACATGGTTTTTCAAAACATTTTTTTGGCATTTAACCGATGTATTTCTTAGCAATATTGAAAGTCTTTCAAACTATATGGTCTATGAATTTCCAACCATGCACATGAGTAATCACCTATCTTTTTCCGACCACCTTCGTTCGATTTTGCATTGGTTTCATTGTTTCCTGTGGTTTTTCAGCTGTAAAAATTTTGATGCCACCTTTTTTGGCATTGAGATAAACAAAATTCATTAAGTACTGAGTTTTTTAAACTGATGATTGTTAAAAACATATTCGAGAACAGAAAAAAAAACATCTTTCAAACTCAATTTTCAGACTGATTTTTAAAAAAATATAAATATTGAAGTATAAAAAAAAGTCCGATAGTAACTAAAAAGCTAAAAATATAGTCGCCACTCAAAATTTATTCGTCGACAATAATGACCGAATTTCACGATGTCTGCATATGACAATTATGAATTCAAAAGCTTGATGGCAGGCATTAGGCAACCTAAGGATGAACGACTCTCTTATTTTAGAAAGAGGGTCAAGTCTGAGTAATTTTGAAGAGTGTTATATGTGATCGTGAGCATACAGAAGTTTTGAATTCCTTTTTTTTTTGGTATTTAATAACATATGTTAATAGCAAATTTCTTTAAAATCTGTCAAGCAGTTTTGGAGATTTTTTGACCAAGCCTGAATATTCTCTTACTTTTGGATTTTCAAAAGTGGCGGTGTTACTAAAAGTATACGTCCTCCTATTTGAAACCAGGATACCAAAGAGCATATACAGGGTTCATACTCTACTTTAAAAAAAAAATTCAAGTACTTTTCAAGACTAATCATAAAATTTTCAAGGACTTAAATTCAAGTAAAAGATAGACTAAAATTTAACATTTTAAACTAAAATGATATGAAAAAAATAATTAGTACTGAAAAATAAAACTTCCATTCCTCTCTCTTTACTTCGAAAAGTAACCCTAGTATAAAAAAAAGCAAAGGTGCTCTGAATTTTACATAGGGCCTAGATATAAAGAAGTTAGATATACAACCTCTGAATAAGCAGATTCGAACAAGTCATGAAGAAAAAGAAGCATTTTAAATGATCTGTACAATAAAAAACAAACAAACTACAGTAAAGAAAAATAGAAAACACACTATTTAAAATTGTTTAAAGATATTTATTTTTAAAAAACTCATGTCTCATATGAAGTGTAAAGAACATTACCAAATACACCAAGTAATTGTTGAATATCTGTGATAAAATATGATGAAAAAAGGAATCAAATAAAGTCCCTGAAAATTAAATTTTAATAAAACAAAATGCTAATTAATATTAAATACATAAAGAAAGAGAAGGTTATTTCCAATATCATCTATATCATGATAACAAGAACAAGTCAAGGATTCAGAATAAAACATTTAAAAAAAAATTGTTTAGCAGAATTAAATTAGTAATAATTTTCAGCTGAATTATCACAAATGTGAAATAAATAAGTACTAGATTTAAATATATACAAGACTCCTAAGCTATATGCACTGAATACACAGTAAAAATTTTCCAAATCATTAATAAAACTTGAAAAAAATAATAAAATACATAAAAACTGGATAAAAGAAATGATGAAAATTAAAGGCTCAAACTTTAATAAAACAAAATGCTAAAGTTGTAATGATATTTACATAAAGATGTAACCAACTTTAAAAACACATATCATAAAGAAAGAAAAGGTTATTCTGAAGATCTTCTATATCATGTTAACAAGTACAAGTCAAGGATATTAGTAAATTTTAAGCTGAATTAACACAAATGTAACTTAAATATATACAAGAATCCTAAGCTATATGTACTAAATACACAGTAAAAGTTTCCAAATGATAAATGAAACTTGAAAAAAATAATAAAATATATAAAAACTGGATAAAAGTGATGAAAATTAAAAGTTTCGTTAAATTCTATTTGAAGCAAAAAAAAAAATAAACGATAATTGAAATTCCATGTTAAAAAAATTTCATCAATTTTTGAAATACATAATTTGAGTGACATAGAAATAAAAAAAAATCATTAACATGTGTTTATGAAAATATTTTAAAATTACATTTAAATTATTGAAGATATGACAAACAAACATATACTAATTATTAAGTAAATATATACAAGACTCCTAAGCTATATGTACTAAATACATAGTAAAAATTTTCCAAACCATTAATGAAATTTGAAAAAAATAATAAAATACATAAAGACTGGATAAAAGAAATGATGAAAATTAAAGGCTTTGTTAACTTCTATTAGAAGCAAAAAAATAAAAAAATAAACCATAATTAAAATACAGTTTTAAGAACATTGCATCAACCTTTGAAATACGTATTTTACCAAATAAAGCCTTTGAAAATCAAATTTTAATAAAACAAAATGTTAAAGTTTGATGATATTTACATAAAGATGTAACCAACTTTAAAAACACATATCATAAAGAAAGAAAAAGTTATTTTCAAGATCATCTATATCATGTTAACAAGTCAAGAATATTAGTAAATTTTAAGCTGAATTAACACAAATCTAAAGTAAATATATACAAGAATCCTAAGCTATATGTACTAAATACACAGTAAAACCTTCCAAATCATAAATATAACTTGAAAAAAATAATAAAATACATAAAAACTGGATAAAAGTGATGAAAATTAAAAGTTTCGTTAACTTCCATTTGAAGCAAAAAAATAAACGATAATTGAAATTCCATGTTAAAAAAATTTCATAAATTTTTGAAATACATAATTTGAATGACATAGAAATAAAAAAAATTCATTAACATGCGTTAATGAAAATATTTTAAAATTACACTTAAATTATTGATTATAACATTATTTATAATAGAAATTATTTATAAAAACTTTCAAATTTTTTTTTCCCTCTTGGTTTCGGTCAATTCACTAATTCTTTCATCTATGGTTTCAATTTCGGATTGCTTCTCTTTTACTGTCCTTCGGAAGCTATTCGCCTTTTTCACCAACAATATGTTTTCAGTTGTTTCAGCTTTTTCTAGCAAGCTGTCAGCTGATTTGCTAAGTTCAGTCACAGTCTTCTCCAGACAAATTTTTTTTGACTGCAGTTCTTGGAGCTCCTGATCATTGTTGGGTCTTTTTTTACTTTCTATCTCTCTCTCTTTTGCTTTAAGGTCAAGGTGATGACGGTACTTCTGCCTAGCACCTCTGACAGCAATCTTCATCTCTTTGGTGATATCAATTCCCTTTGCCCCCCCACAGGATAACAACGCATCTTTCACAAGCCTTTTTGCCACATAAGTCTCTTCTTTCAAATTATCTACTTCAACCTACCGGTTGATTGAAAATCCTCTCTCTACAGTAGCCTGCCCATGGGAGAGAAGTAAAAGTTTCTTGACAACACTCCACACTTTGGAATACTCATGGACACACATGTGTTTCTTCAAAAACTCATCCAGTCGTTGAGTTGTTTGGTTGAAGTCTCTAAACTCAACACTTACTCCAACAGAATTTAAAAATTCCAAAAGAATAGTATCGCATTCCGCATCATTGACTTTTCTACACCTAGCCAATTCTTTCAAGATGATAGCCATTTTCTTATATGTTTTATCACTGCTGTGATACATCCTCCTGGGGTCTAGGGATGCAAGGCATCGAACTAACTGATTAGATAGGGGTGATTTTTCTGCTATTTTTTTCACAATGGCAATAATGCATTTTTGACAGTCATGCTGAAGGTCCAGACCAGCTTTATCAGTTACCTGCTTCTGTGCGAGCAGTTTCTTCAGCATATTTCCTGCAACAAATCCAATTGAAACTTTGCTGATGCTGCTTTTATGATTACTGAAATCAAAATTAGCAAAGTCGCAGTGCTCTTTCATTGCAGTCACAGATTCATTCTTTAAGACTTTGAAAGTATCCAATAAATTTAAAATCATCTTTCTCAAGTCCCCAGACAGAAAAGGTAGCATCGGCCAATCCTTCTGATATAAAGTTAAAAAGGGCTGAAGAATTCTAATTACTGACAGAAAAAAATTAAGTTTCACAGGAAGAATTATGTCCCTGCATGAAGCAACTACAAGCAAATAAGATTTGCTGCTGGGTTTGTTTAATTTCCCCTTTTCAACAGAAGAAATGTATAGTTTTAAGTCATCCAAAATGTCTAAAGCTCTTTGTGCAGCTGGTCCATTCTCCAGCCATCTATGGCCACAAAATTTGAGAGGCATCAATTTACTTTCTGATGCTTCTAAAAAGTCTTCTTTCCTTGCTGGAGCATCTTTAAATAGCCAATGAAGGCTTCTCAAAAAATCGTCCAAATGCCATTGTGTCTCAACAAATCCTCTTTTAAAGCCGTTATTCACAACATGAAGACTACAACTACCTACATTTGGCAGCCGAATTGATTTTTAAGTTCGTCTGAAACAAATCGAAGATCTTCCAATTTACATAAGGCCCATCCATAGAAATCCCCATTAAATTTTAAAAATCCAATTTGCTGACGGTGGTGAGAAGATGAGACACCGTGACATCAGCTGTAGAATGGCCTAAAAAACTCGAATCAACGTACTTGGTGACAACATTTTCCTCACCCCAAAATCTGACTAAAACATCCAACTGCTTGGATTGCAGAGACTTATTTAAGCTCTCATCAAACATTAAACAATATTCACCTGAGAGTTTACAGCTCTCAAAAACTTGCGACTTAAAATATGGTGCTAAGCCAAAACACAAATAATATGAAGCTTTATTGGCCCCACACGAAAAAGATCTAGCTATCACACTGTCGCTAAACATGTCTTTAAATATATCGGCAATTGTTTGACATGAATTAAAAGAATAATTATTTTCAATGCACTTTAGCACCCATCTTATCTCAACATGTGTACTATTAGTAGTGCCAAAATTCAAAACAGCACTAGTCAACTTAAGGTGGAATGGACTATAGTGAATAGTTCTGCTTATGAAATTAAGGGCAAATGCTGCCCAAGAGATGATTTTCCAGAATTTTAATCACTTGAAGAAGAAAGTTTTTTATTTGTTTTAAAAAATAAGATTTTTTTCATTTTATTTATTAAATGGATGTTGGTTGCTCAAAGAAGAAAATAACTTCGTAACTAATATTTACATTTACTTCCTGTCCCCCCTCAATAAACGTGTTTAATTACATTCTGATTGGTATTTATACGACACTAATGCGATAGGTACAAGATAGATTAAAAAATAATATATATTTCATACAAAAATTTCGTTTAATTAATTTAGTATCCTTTGTGCTACTAGCTAATCACAAGAATTTTTTGCATAAAAATACTTCCCAACATAAAGTAAATATCCAAGAGAAAATTTTTCACCCTAAAACAAAACTTTCTTATAATTATAAATATTCTCAGGATAATATTAAAATTAAACAACTTTCGCCAGTTAAACCAGGACATGAAATTTCAGCTCAAAAATATTAGACTGAATAAAATTTTCAATCGCTACTATAAACAATTTTGAAGATTTTAACAGGTGAAGTATGAAAAAATGATTTGTCATTTTTGTTTCAAATAAAAGAAAAATAACACGATCACATGCCTCCCCACTTAGACAAAACCTAAGCTTACCATTGTTCGACTTTTCATTGCAATATTGAAAACCATACTATGGAAATATTTGCCATTAACACTAGGCTTGCTCTAAAATAAACTGTTAATTTCCTTATGAGCTGAACTGAACAGTTGTTGTCAGCAATTTTTTCGAGTACAATTTTAACAAATAAACTAACCTTGAAACATTTAATATTCTAAGCAGAGGAAATGTAATTTATTACAGAACTGGCAGCGCAATTCAAATAAACATTCGATATTTCAAAAGACATATTTTCAATAAAAGTAATATGTACAATAAAGTTAAAGAAAATAAGTATACAAAACATATTTGTGAATAGAATTAGTTTATGAATTTAGAATATAAAATAATTTTAAGAAAATTATTCATAACAATTCAAAAGCAAATTTATTTTTAATACCAACTTGAAAACATACATAAATTATGAATTAGAATTTGGTCCCTTCTTCCTGCCAAACGTAACAACTACATTAACAAATCTGCGATTGAATTGCATTCTTCGTTTAGCTCGACCAGTCCTCTTTTTCTTTTTTTCTTGTTTTTCTACCTGTAAAATAAGTTGGAAAAAAATTAAGTATTATGCACACAAAAAATTTAATTTCCAAACATCATTACATTAATAAGTGTTTCGAAGCAACCAGCAATTTTAATTTGATTTCAAAACAGTCCACAGCAACAGCAATTATGAGAATAATGCTGTTTACTCTTACCCTACTTCTGGCAAGAATAAAAAATGTTTCTCTTCTTTTATCTTTAATGCAGTATAAAGTGATTTAAACATCAATGAAACAGACATAATTAATATAACCAATTTTCTACTTTGGCAGCAATTTTGTAGAATATTATTAGAGAGATCATTAAGAATATTATTTAATACACTGCATTTTTTTCTTCATGTTTTGATAACCAGCCTGAACAAAGATCCCCTCTGAGTTAACCTTTCTGTTAACTTTTCTTTTCTGAGAAACCTTTCAGTATTTATTTGTTATTCAGGGCCGGCAGAATGAGAAAGAAGTGCTTCCCAAGACCAGCATACTTGAAGTTTTATACTCAAGGGTACGTACATCCAGTATTACGAGAGTACCAGCCGCAATAGAAGAATTACGCAGTTGCACATGTTATCATGGTCCTGAAGCGCTTAAAAATGTAGATTGGCTAATAACCTTAAACTGCAAACTTAGTATTTTGTCTAATGAGATTCAATACCTCTTTTAATTAAATAATTACCAATAGAGTTTCAATAATTTCCAAATGGAAACATAGGGACTATGCAGGTAAAAAATTTTATGAAGAAGAAAGTTAGTGAACAATAAAATACTCGATTGAAAATTCTGAAACAACTTATCTAGTATTTACAGGGTTGCCACAGAAAAAACGAACAAAATAGTTGCTTCTAGTACCCTAAAGCATGAAAATAAGTCGCCTAAAATTATGAAAATAGTTACCTAAATAAGAACAAAAATTTTTCAATAATATGACTAAAATTTTATTAAATGACTTTATTGTAATATATCATGATCCATTCAGTCAAGTTGACGACCAATATGATAATTATTAAATAAACGTTCTTTATATAAAAAAATATTTTTATATAAAAAAAATTTGTATAATTGCAGAACATTAAACTTTTAAATGCCAGAATTAATGAAAAATAATAATTTTTTGCTAAAAAAAAAAAAAAAAAAANAAAAAATAATAAAATACATAAAAACTGGATAAAAGAAATGATGAAAATTAAAGGCTCAAACTTTAATAAAACAAAATGCTAAAGTTGTAATGATATTTACATAAAGATGTAACCAACTTTAAAAACACATATCATAAAGAAAGAAAAGGTTATTCTGAAGATCTTCTATATCATGTTAACAAGTACAAGTCAAGGATATTAGTAAATTTTAAGCTGAATTAACACAAATGTAACGTAAATATATACAAGAATCCTAAGCTATATGTACTAAATACACAGTAAAAATTTTCCAAATCATTAATAAAACTTGAAAAAAATAATAAAATACATAAAAACTGGAAAAAAGTGATGAAAATTAAAAGTTTCGTTAAATTCTATTTGAAGCAAAAAAAATAAATGATAATTGAAATTCCATGTTAAAAAAAATTTCATCAATTTTTGAAATACATAATTTGAGTGACATAGAAATAAAAAAAAAATCATTAACATGTGTTTATGAAAATATTTTAAAATTACATTTAAATTATTGAAGATATGACAAACAAACATATACTAATTATTAAGTAAATATATACAAGACTCGTAAGCTATATGTACTAAATACACAGTAAAAATTTTCCAAACCATTAATCAGGGTTCGTTGATATATATCAATGGATATATATCATGATATATATCAAGATATATATCCGATATTTATTTTGAAATAAATATCATGATATTTTCAGCAAAGTTTCTAAAATATCCCCCACGTTATTTCAAGATATCTTTTAATCACTACACAAACTCATGCTACCATTCACACTATCTTTACTTCCTATAAAAAATCTTGTTTTAAATTGCACCTGCTCCCACTTACCCCCTACTAAAAATTCATTCTTAGACTGAACCTGTTCTCATTCACCCTATGATGGTTAAGTGGCCAAGGTAGATAATTTAGTAAATGATTTAA